CCAGCTCTTAGTCCCTCTCTTCCCATGAATCTAGAGTCCTCAGCTGCTCCCTCTCTTCATATCCCCATCTCTGCCTCCATCTCTGGTGTAGCTGCTTTTTTGGATAAGGTCCCACATTCCACTTGTTCTCGTCTCCCTTGATGGTCCTCGGGTCCTTTGTTTCTGGACTATAAGATTAACTGCTCCCTCATTTTTGTTACAAAACTTCTACCTTTACAATTGTGAGAGTCGCAATTAGTCATGATAACAATTACTCCCTACTGAATCATAGGATTCTTATCCCCATCTTTTTTAATCAGACCCATCTAGACAAGATGTCAACTATTCAGTGGGGACTCTTTCTCCCCCCCACCACACTCTTAAATTAAATTCCCTCTTGAAACCTTCATGCCTTTATCGCCCCCTCCTTTTAGGTAGCCAATGTCTAAGTTGCCCATCCCTATCTATCCTGTGTACAGTGGGGATAGCATTGATACTTGATGTGAAGACGCCTTCCCTCTCTGTTGGTATTTAGAGTTACTACCTCCATGAGTATAGATCAGGTTCATCAAGTTGCAGCAATTTACCCTTGTTTCCTATATAAAATAGTGTTTATTTTCTTATCTTCCTCTAGTTGAGTTGTGATTATCAAGCCATCGAGGCTAGGTCACATGGGTACTGTCTACAAGTTTGGGTGTTCTTGTGCCTCTCCTCTCATTTCATATCAGCTGGATGATACACTCTTAGCTCTACCCTCTGTGGCTATGTCCTTGTCCATAGGCTCAGGTGTCCCCAGGTCTCACTGCACTTTGGACCAACCAGCCCTTCTTCTTCTCCCTCTTATCTCCAGGTCAGCAGGAGTCAATAGACCATGGTTGAACTCAGCCCATTTCTTCATTGCTGCCTTTCCCCCTCTTCCACTCACCAGTAGACGAATGTAGTCGCCAGCAAGCTTACATGCCTGCTCATGTGTTCCTTTTGAGTTTCAGTCTTAGAGGTGGGTTTGTCTTCAGGAACTTGATTGCTTGCCTTGATGACTTCCCGGCAAACAGCTTGCTTATTCTTGCAGTAGCCAGTCATACTGACATTTTTGTTTTGGGTTTTCCCTGATGATCCTTCTTTGAAGATGCATCTCCTGATGCTCTAGCTATTCCAGGCTGGAACAGCTTGTCTGCTTGTCCTTTCTAGTGGGAATGTTCCACCTCAGAGTTTGTCCTTATTTTTCACTGATAATCTTTATAGTTCTAGGTTTTATATTTAGGTCATCAGTCCATGTTTTTTTTTTTGTTGTTTTTTTTAATGTGGTGTGAGATACGGTTCTTGTTTCATTATTCTGCAAATGGATTTCCAGTTTTGACAGCACCACTTGTTGAAGAGACTATCTCTTCCCGATTTCGAAAGATCAGTTAGTCATGTAGTGTTGTTAAGTGCTGTTCAGTCAGTTCTGACTCATAGTGACCTTGTGTAGGGTTTTCAAGGAGCAACTGGTAAGTTTGAACTGCCACCTTGCAGTTCAAATTAACCTTGTGGTCTACTGCTTATCCTACAGTGTGACACTAGGATTCCACAGGTGGATGGATTTACTTGTGGGTTCTCACTTCTGTTCTATTGATATGTGTCTTTCGTTGTACCTGTACCAGGCTGTTTTAATACTGGGGCTCTGTAGTAGGTTTTGAGATTGGGAAGTGAGAGGCCTACTTTATTCTTCTTTTAAAGTAATGCTTTGGTTACCTGGGGGGTCTTTTTGCTTTTCATATAGATTTGGAGATTTGTTTTTCCATGTCTTCAAAGAATGATAACGGAATCGGGGTTGGGATTGCTTTATAGCTACAGATCGCTTTGGGTAGTGTTAACAACATTGTTTATGGCCTACTTTTTCATTGAAAATATTGCGAGGATTTCCCGTTATAGTTAGTCTTAACAAATTTTTAAAGATGACATGTTGTTGTTGTTGTTAGGTGCCATCAAGTTGGTACCGACTCATAGCAACCTTATGCACAGCAGAATGAAACACTGCCCAATCCTGGGCCAACCTCACTACTGTTGCCACGCTTGAGTCCATCAATGCTCCCCCTTGGCCAATCCATCTCATTGGGGTCTTCCTCTTTTTCTCTGACCCTCCGCCTTACCAAACGTGATATCTTTCTCCAATGATGACATAGTCTCCATAAAATATGGATGTACTCGTTCCTTTTTTTTAAAAAAAACATTTTAATAGTATTGGACATTTGTGTTATTTGGGGATATTTTATGAATACAAAATGCTGACACAATATATACCACTGTATGCATTTCTGATTTATTCCACAGGGATAAATTTCAAAAGAGAAATGGGAATTTTGCATCAAAGAACAAGAACATTCATAAGAGTTCAATATAGATTGCCAAATTGTTTTCAAAAAGGATATACCAATTTATAAAATTCCTGGTGGTGCAGTGGTAAGGCTCACAGCTGCTAATGAGAGGTTGGCAATTTGAATCCACCAGTGGCTTCATGGAAGACACAGGGGTGGCAGTCTGCTTCTAGAAAAAGTATAGGCTTGGAAGCCCCATGGGACAGGTCCACCCTGTTGCTATGAGTGGAGCTTAACACAATGAGAACAGGCTGTTGGTACACTAATTTATTTAAATACTAAAAAAGTATTGCTGCTGTTTTTGCTGTTAAGTGCTGCTGAGTCAGTTCCGACTCATAGCGACCCTGCATGTGGTTTTTGAGGAGCATCTGGTGGATTTGAACCACCAACCTTGCAGTTAGAAGTCCAGAGCTTACTCTACAGCGCACCAAGACCCCAAAGAGGATATTAGACTCCCACAAATTTTTCTATTTAAGGATGTGATTTCCCTAATGAATGTAAGTTACTTTCACATGAGAGTGAGATGGAATACTTTGTATGGAAATAAGCAAATTACATAAATCATTTTTTAAAATAAGGGCAACTACTGTTACTTTTTACTAAAAGTAACTATATAAGTTATTTTCAGATGAGCTAAAATATTGATGTATGATTCCTAATTTTTGTCCAATCAAGATATTTTACATATTAAATTTTATTATAATAAAATATATCTTTGTTCTGAAGAGTATAACGCTAACAATATCTATTGTTTACATTGATCACTTCCTTTGGGTCAGGCCTTAAACTGTGCATTTTGCTACAAGTATTGTCTCATTTAATCTTCTCAGTAAGCCTAAGAGATAGGCATTATTATTATTATTATCACCATTTTACTGGATAAGTTAAGGGATATGACCTTATAAAGGTAACTAACACAGCCGATAGCTGTCTTTACACACAACTTCAGCGATGTCAGTCACCTTACATGTGGATGATACCGCCTAGAAATGTCCAGTACCCGGACTACACAATTGTACATGGCTGGCCTGTTATTCTGGTTTGTTACCATTGAATCAGTACCAACTCATGTCCAACAGTATCAATCTTAAGTGCAACAGCATGAAACACTGGCAGATGCAGTGTTAGTGCCATCCTTAAGATTGTTGTTCTGTTTGAGACCGTCGACCCAGTTGTAAGGCTTTTTGTTTTCTTTGTTTTGAGGTAGAATTCATACTGAAGGCTGTAGTCTTTGACCTTCACCATTAAGTGCTTCAAGTCATCTTCACTTTCAGCAAGCAAAGCTGAATCTCACTTTCAACAAGCAAGGTTGTTATCATCTGTATAATTGCAGGTTGTTAATAAGTCTTCCTCCAGTTCTATGTTGTGTTCTTCTTCAGAGAGTCCAGGTTCTTGAATTATTTGCTCAGCATATAGATTAAATAAGTATGGACAAAGTATACAACCATGATGTACAACTTTCCTGATTTTAAACCACACAGTTTCCCCTTATTTTGTTCAAATGACTGTCTTTTGGTCTGTGTTCAGGTTCTGAATGAGCACAACAGATTGTTCTGCAATTCCTATTTTTTGCAGTGTGATCGTAATTTGTTATGTTCCATACAGTTAAGGACTTTCTAGGCATTGTTGTTGTTGTTGTTGTTAAGTGCCATCGAGTCGGTTCCGACCCATAGCGACCCTGTACAGGGTTTCCGAGGGTGTAAATCTTTACGGGAGTAGAAAGTCTCATCTTTCTCCCGCGGAGCGGCTGGTAGTTTCGAACCTCTGACCTTAAGGTTCGCAGCCCGATTCGTAACCACTACGCTACCAGAGCTCCTTGTTGTTGTTAGTTGTTATTAAGTCAGTTCCAACTCATGGCAACCCCGTGTGTGTCAGAGCAGAACTGCTTCATAGGGCTTTCATGGCTGGGACCTTTTAAAAACACATCACCACGTCTTTCTTCTGAGGCATCTCTGAGTGGGGTCAAACCTCCAATCTTTCAATTAGTAGTCGAGCACTTACCAATCTGCAGTAACCAGAAACTCCCTTTAAGCCATAGTTTTGGAATGTTCTCATGTGCATTTTGAAACTTAAAAGTTAACAGATATAGAAAAGGAAGATTATTATTCTGGTATCAAAGTTAATAGATGTGGGGAGAGATCTGAAAGTCTCCATTTTAGTAGGCTCACAAATGGAGTTAAAAGTTCCAATAGTCAAACTTTGAACAAAGAGCAGAGAATTCAAAGCAAATTCAACTATTCTTTCACTTAGAGATACATTTTCCAAGAGTAAGATTCTATGAAATCTCAGACGAGAAGTATTTTATACATGATCTTGGATAGATATTTTAGAGATGATCTTGTTACAGATGTCTGCTTTTTCTGGGGTGTGCACAGTGTTCAGTGATTCACAGAAACACTGGTTCCCAAGAGCAAAGTTTACAGTCTGAAGAAGGGTACCCATGAAATGAGTAATGCAAACCATGGTGTACTCTGAGGGTGGCTTAGGTGTTCATTGCCGGTTGCTCACACAGAAACCTAACACCTACAAAATCCTGTTAATCAATAATCGTAGAAACAAAACAAAGAAAACTTTTCTATTCATAAAACCCAAGAAAACAAAAGAATAATCACTGAAAACTTCTTCTTTTTTTAAACCCTATTGACACAGAAACCACAGAAATCTCACCTGATTGGTCCAGTGGGTCCCTCTGGTCCTTCCATCTCATAGGAGTAAACGGTGTCCCATTTAAAATGTAGATTCCAATCAAAAGCTCCCCTAACAACAGGAAAGGCTTTGTATTCCAGGGTCATAGCATCAATAATATCAATCAAAGGGCAAACCACGATGTGAGGGTCTTTGGAGATAACAGCCAGCAAGGGCTCCAGCCAAAATCTATTCACCTCGCAGTGACTATCCAGGAACACCAGAACATCCCCTGGAGAGGCAACCAAAGTCTAGTGTTAGGCCACATGGATGAAGGCTGTGTATTTACCATATATATGCTTGGCTCAAAAAATGTTTTTCTTTCAGTTGGAAGGAGACAACATCATCTTAAGTCGTTAGAGAAATGTAAATCAAAACTACAGTGAAATATCACTTCATACCCACGAGAATGATGCATCGGAATCCTGCTACATTGCTAATGGGACTATAAAATGGTGCTGCAGTGACTTTGGAAAATTGTTTGGCAGTTCATCAAAATAAAAAATGGAGTTATCATATGGCCCAGCAATTCTAATAGGTTTCTAACCAAGAGAAATGAATGCTTACATTCCCACAAAATCTTGCACACAAATGTTCATAGAAGCATTATTCCTAATAGCAAAACAGTGGAAACAATTCCAATGTCCTTCAACTAATGAATGGATAAGTAAAATATACTCAGATTCATATAATGGATTAGTATTCAGCAATTAAAAGGAATGGTATGCTGGTACATGGCTACCACATGGGGGAACTTTGAAAACATTATGCTAAATGAAAGAAGCCAGACACACAAAAAGCTACATAGTATCTGATACTATTTAATAAAATGCCCAGAATAAGCAAAAGGTTCTTAGGTGGTTCAAATGGATTGTTTTTGAAAGGCCTGGGAATCTGTTTCTATAGTTTACAGTCAAGGCAACCTATTGGGCAGTTCTACTCTGTAATACGTGGGACCTTCATAAATCAGAATCTATTGAATATCAACAGCTTGGGCTTTTGTTGAGTTTGTCATTTATTTATTTGAGGGATATAAAGTAAAGTAGATTAGTAATAATTTAGTGCTTTGGTAGGAGAATGGAATCAGGTGGAATGGGGAATAATTGCTAATAGTTACCAAGTTTTATTTTTTGTGTGTGTGTGATGAATTGTTCTAAAAGTAGATTGTAGCAATGGTTATACAACCCTGGGAATATGCTAAAATAATTGAATTATGCATTAGGCAAATCTGCTGCACAAGACCTCTTTAAAGTGTTGAAGAGCAAAGATGTCAGTTTGAGGACTAAAATACGCCTGATCCAAGCCATGGTATTTTCAATAACCTCATAGGCATGTGAAAGTTGGATAGTGAATAAGGAAGACCGTAGAAGAATTGATACATTTGAGTTTTGGTGTTGGAGGAGAATATTAAAAGTATCATGGATTTCCAAAAGAGCAAGCCAATCTGTGTTGGAAGATTTACAGCCAGAGTGTTCCTTGGAAACCAGGATGGCCAGACTCCATCTCTCATACTTAAGACATTATCAGGAGAGGTCAGTCCCTGAAGAAGGGTATCATGTTTGGTAAACTGGAAGGTTAGAGAAAAAGAGGAAGATCCCCAATGAGATGGATTAGCACTGTGGCGACAGCAATGGGGTTAGGCTAAGCAACAATTTTGAGGTTAACGTGAGACGGGGCAATGTTTTGTTCTGTTGTACATAGGGTCACTATGAGTCAGTGCTGACTCAATGGCACCTAACAACAACATTGAATTGCATACTTTGAATCAATGAATTGTATGGTCTATGATCTATAAATAGAACAATATACCTGTTAAACTATATCATTAGGAAAGAAAGAATCACATAGCAAGGAAAGAGTACCTCCTCTGTCTCTTAATATATTTTTACATAAAATTCACAACAGAATTTTCAGTCTTTAAAAATGATCTAACCCTATACCTCAGTTCAAATGACAGGTAACTTACCTATCCAATCGTGGCTGTACACACTTGATTTACCAGTATATTGAACAAACAGGGCTCACGGCAAAAAGGAACTTCATGTCATTCTTCCACTGTTCATTGAAGTCCATCAAGAAGGAAAGGTCATTCCCTACTCTTGGTGCAAACCAGAATTATGCTTGGGGCTTTTCTGGTGACTCTGGGATAATTGGAAGTCTTATAGTCACAGTAAGGCAAAAAACACAGTCTCGGTTCTGAAGTTAAAATTTCTATATTGTGTTGTAGTCGATGCTCCCTTACTTCATGCAGCACTAGTTATTGCCCTGGGAAGGGCATTTGCTTTTGAGTTAAAATAGCATGATTGTCTTCTTTTCACTTCCTTACTCTTCTTCTCCAACTTGCTCTACCTATGGTGTCTGAGCTCGCTAAGGGCCAAAGTAAGACCAGAGAGGAGAATGGAAGGGGGCAAGAAAGTCCTTACTTGATTGGAATTGTGGGAAGGATGTTTGATGCATTCTGAGCTGAGTCCTTTTGTGGTATGACTGTGATTTCGTTATTTTGAGGATCCCTCTTAACATCTTTGTTGGTCTTTTTATATGATGTTCCCATGACCTGGGCAAATGTGATCTGTTTTGGTGTTCCTGAATACTTGCTAAATTCCTTAGAGTCCTATGTTCAATCCCACTTCTTTGCTGAGATCTGCTCATTGCATTAACCCTACTAAATCTTCCTTAAAGCTGCACAGCAATCTGAAGTTCTTTCAATCTAAACCTCATTCCTTTCCTCTCTCCCTTCAGATATCAAGTCTGAAGCACCCTCATACAGTATTTCATCTTCCTTTCCTCTTTATTCTCCACCAGAATTTCCCCCAGTAAACTTTCTCTACTCAGTCTGTCTTGCCATCTGCTTCCCAGAGGACCTGAACTGACACCCCATATTTGCTTTTGAGTTCCCTATGAGATAGGTTGAAATCTTTCTTGGAGCTGTACTTCAATCTAGTTGAACAGTTGTGCTTTCCTTATCCCATTACAGGCATTGTTCCTATGAGCACACCCTAATAAATTTCCTGCATGTAGCCCTACATCCCAAATTTTACCCCCTGGGCTAACATGATGGCTCCTGGAAAAGCATATCCTACATTTGAAATAACAAATTAGTGTCTCGAAGTAGACTACTTTGAGACAAAAGATTAATGACTCGTACAGCAGAAATACATTTCCATTTTTCTGTGTGAGGCAGCAGAGACACAGTGTCTTGTGTGGATTCCTACATACATGGGCATGAAGATTTCTGGGTACAGATGCTGGGTCATGTCCTGAGATGCTCATACCTGAAGCAAGAGATGCTCCAATCAGCTTTGCTCGGATCAGACCCTCTCTCTTTTTGTTTCTTATCAATTTAATCTTTCCTCGAAAAACTTCCAGGTGATAGTCTAGCTTTTCTTTCAAGTCATCTGGAAAAAAGAACCAAAACTTGCTAATTAATAAACAACTTCTACAGAAATGGAGCTCTGGTAGCGTAGTGGCTACGAATCAGGCTGCGAACCTTAAGGTCAGCGGTTCGAAACTACCAGCTGCTCCGCGGGAGAAAGATGAGGCTTTCTACTCCCGTAAAGATTTACACCCTCGGAAACCCTGTACAGGGTCGCTATGGGTCGGAACCGACTCGACGGCACTTAACAACAACAACAACACAGAAATGGAAGTGATCCTAATTGTGATTTATTTTTTAAATGATATTTCACAGAAGTTCTAACTTTGAAAGAAAATTTTATTCTATGTAAGGGAGGAGACACTCACAGAAGCAGCAGTCAAGAAATCAAATGACATATTGCATTAGGCAAATGTGCTGCACAAGACCTTTTTAAAGTGTTGAAGAGCAAAGATGTCAGCTTGAGGATTAAGGTGTGCCTGATCCAAGCCATGGTATTTTCAATAACCTCATATGCATGCAAAATCTGGACAGTGAATAAGGAAGACTGTAAAAGAATTGATACTTTTGAGTTATAGTGTTGGAGGAGAATATTGAAAGTGCCATGGCTGCTAAAAGAACCAGTAGCTCATTTTTGGAAGAAGTGCAGCCAGAGTGCTCCTTGGAGACCAAGATGAGCATACTTCATCTCTCATACTTCAGACATATTGTCAGGCGGGACCAGTCACTGGAGAAAGATATCATGTTTGATAAGGTGGAGGGTGAGAGAAAAAGAGGAAGACCCCCCAATGAGATGGATTGGCCAAGTGGCAGTATCGATGGACTCAAGTGTTGCAACAGTAGTGAGGTTGGCCCAGGATCGGGCAGTGTTTCATTCTGCTGTGCATAAGGTCACTATGGGTCGGTACCGACTCGATGGTACCTAACAACAACAACAAGGGAGAAGAAGAAAGAAACATGATTTGTCATCTAAGTCAGCTGTAAATGTTCTTCTATGTTCCTAGTCAACTACTTCAATTTTAATAGATTAGAGTTTTAATGGAACTTCTACTTTTAATGGAAGCCTGAGTTATGTAGCTTTGGAGCAACCTAACTTTCCTAATAACTGTGCTAATTGTACTTTAATCAACTGTACTTCTAACTTAGCAGTGACTGTTATATACGTTTTCATACTATTGTAAGTCTCATTGTTCTCATCTGTGAGCAGGGATATCCTCTGTGTTCCTTGAAGGATTGTAGTAGGAGGGAGAAACATGCCATCTAGCACAGAACCTGGTCCCAACTAGCCTCTCAATATTTGAAACATGAGTATGATGATGACTCCCTGGGTGGTGCAAATGCTACTAACCGGAAGCTTGAAGCTTCGAATCTGCCAGAGGTGCTTCAGAAGAAAAGCTTGGAGATCCCAAAAGGAACAGTTCTATAGTGACACACATGAGGTCACCATGAGTCTGTTTCAACTGAATGGCAACTGGTCACTGGTTTCGGATGAAAGTCGAGAAGCCTGGGGTCAGGTGAGATGGATCCAGGGGCCTCAGAGGTCTAAATTCCTATATTCCAGTAATCTGGATCAGGAAATTGGGGCCTAGCAGGTCTAAGTACATATTTGTTGTGGCAGTGGCGAGATCTCCTTCCTTGTCTAGCTAGAAGGGGTTGCGTGGCCCTTGCTTAGAGGCAGGAATACAGGTTTCCCAGTTGCCCTTGCTGTGTGGGAGCAGCATCTCAGCTTGGTGGTCTGCCAATACATTTCCAGAATCCTGGAGACAGGGGAAGTGTGAGCAAGACCTTTGTGGATAGAGGGAGTGCTGTTAGCAGTCATCTCTGACAGAACGTGGATGGTTGTCTTGAAGTCAAGAAGGAACCAAGACTGTGGAGACATGGATGGCCAAGATCAGCTCATCAAGACTAGCTCCTTATCTAAGTCATGGTTTAGTTCCCTGGGTCCTGCCCCCTCAGCTGAGGGAATGCATCCTAGTGCCTACTGGTGTCAACAGGGAGAGAGACACTACAATGAAAAAGCCTGATCCATAGCCCTATATTTCATTGTGAAGTATAGGTGAGAATATATCTATCCTGAGCTTCATCAGAACACAGAATACCCCATTTCCTTTGTTTGAGGTTCTGTATGGCCTAACGGCTAAGCCTTTGATGAATGGAACATGAGGAGGAGGTATAAACAGCATACCTCTATCTTGGTTGTCAGCAGTGACTCCCAGGCCCATATGAAGGGAGACTATAGTGCCTATAATGAATGGATGAGCAGGCCGCCATGCATGCAGTTCTGAAGGACTGGAGGTGGGAGGGCTATGGCCATTCCTGGGATTGCATCCCCATGGCAGCATCCCATGTCTGTGGGTGAGGCACTAGAACTCCATAGTCTAGCAGAACATCCCACCCCTTTCCTGCTCTGGCTTTATTGGTAATTTCTTGCCCAGCAAGTAGCCAGATCATTTGAGTAGCAACTGCTGGAGGGAAGTTCTGACCTGCTCTCCACACACCCTTCCATGTACAAGATAGTCCTAAATACTCCTGGGCCCCTCGGGCACTGGTGTTCTCATAGAAAGAATGCTATAGGTGCCTGGCCAACATCTCAAAATTCCAAATATTCACTGGGTTACATTCCACCTCTGGGCTGATACTCCTGAAGGCACTTCCTTACAGGGTGAACTTGTGAGCTGGCTCTTCTCTTCTTCCTACTGTTTTCCCTCATTTTTTTCCTTCACAGGTGAGATTTACAGTATATTATGTAGACTTTTAGGTTTGAAATTTCCACATGGAAATTTCCACATGGAAAAATGGAAATGCAGACTCCAAAGATGGCCTCAGTGATTTGAGTACTAACCATTGAAACAACTGGAATTCAGACCTTGGTGGAGGTACTTTAAACTTTCTTTCTTGGAAAGTACCTAGAGATCATGACACTGTCTTGCAGAAAGTCCTTAATAGTTCCCCATTTTCTCTAGATAAGATTTAAACAATGCTTTTTTTACGAGGTGGTTCCATTTGATGTCTGATTTTATCCACTCCTCCCCTCCCTACATTCCACCTTCCCAAATATTCCAAACTCACCATCTTCTCTCTTGCCCCTGGGCTTTTTCCAATGCTATTTCCTCTCCCTAAAATGCCTTTCCCTTCTCTTCACCTGGATAACTCTAGCTCATCCTTCAGACCTCATTTTAGATGCCACTTCTTCCTCGTAGTCTCTTGGAAGCACTCGTCGCCTCATTTGCCTGAGCACCTAGCAGGGTGACTGCCTGACTGTTGTTGTTAAGTACCGTGGAGTTGGTTCTGACTCATAGTGACCCTGCACAGGGTTTCCGAGGCTGTAAATCTTTACAGGAGCAGAATGCCTCATCTTTGTCCTGTGGAGCAGCTGGTAGTTTCGCTTGCCCCTCAAATTCTTTGAATAAAAATCTCAGGCATCATAAGGGATAAGACTGCCTCCAAAGTAGATTAGATAGATTACTAGTATTTCATCTTACCAAATTCACTCTTGTCATCAACCAAAATAATTTCTTCCAGGAGGTGGTGTGGAGTGAGGTTTATGACACTTGTCAGTGTCCGAAACAATGCATTAAATTCTTCATTATAGAAGCAAATAATAACACTAGCAGTAGGCAGATGTTTTGGATATTGCTTTTTAAGACACCTGCAAACATAAATAAAAGGAAGAAAATGATTCACTTGAATGCCTTACATGTTTTAAAATCTAATTTAATCACCTCATTTTAATTTTCCCCCCCTAACATTTAAAAACACAAAAATAAAGATACAGAAATAGCTCTGACTTCTAGTGACGTTCTAATATTTTCTGAATCATTTCTCCTTTTCTTAATGCCAGTAATAATTGCTCTTTCCTGAGACACTGTGTTGATCATCTTAGTTTTTTTTTTTTTGTTGTTGCTTTGTAGGATACACACTGAATTGCTCCACAAGATCAGTGGTTCAAACCCACCAACCATTTATTCAAAAATCCTGTTGTACGATCTTCAAAGAAAAGACTATACTCTAGTGTTCTCTTTGTGTAGGCTACTGAAACAAAGAAATATAGTGAGTGTGGTGTTGTTGGGTTTTTTCCAGGTGTTTGGCAAAAAATGTTTTATTGTTTTGCATATAAAGGGAAAATAGAAGCTGAATTCTAGTAACATTAGTTATTAACTGTTAATAATTGTTTTGGAGTCCTGGTGTGGCACTGTAGGATAATACACTGGACTGCAAGTTCAGTTTGAAGAGTAAGGTCAGCAGTTCAAACTCACCAGCTGCTCCTTGGAAATCCTATACAGGATCGCTATGAGTCGGAACCAACTCCACGGCACTTAACGACAACAATCACAACAATAATTGGGTCACTATATTGTTTGCTAGGAAACCTTTGGTTGTAAGTGGTAGAAATGCACTGGAGCTTAAGAAAATGATAGGAGGTATATTGTGAGCAACTTAAATGTCTTGGAAGACTTCGTGTCAGGAGAGCAGCTGGAGCCTTCAAGCCCGACTGAACTCGTGGCTTGAAAGGCACCTGTACTCTTTCCTCTCTTCTCTTCTCTTTACATCTGGGAATGATATTTATAATGATAACACGCCCATCAACCTACCTCTTAGGGTTATGAAGATAGTGTGAATGTAAAATGCTCAGACCAGTGCCTGGGATATAGTATGCTGTTGTTGTTTTGAAGTGATGTCGAGTTGGCTCTAACTCATAGAGACTGTGTATAGGGTTACTGAGGAGCCAGTCTCTGGTGAGCTTGAACCGCAGCCTTGCAGTTCAAACCACCCTTGCAGTCCAGCGCATTAACCCATATAAACGCTCTGTATGTAGTGATCATGCTGTTGATTTTCTCTCTGCATCCTGGGTTTGTTCCATTTCTTGTCAGACTATGGCTGACATCAGCATGTCTAATAGTCTAGTACTTAAGGAAAAACTTTTAGGACTTTCTCTTTCCCCAAATTAAAAAAATTCACAGGTCCAATGAAGAGCTAATTATCAGAAAGATCTGAATAGATGGGAAGGAGGGGTAAGGGTAACATCCCGCACAAGGTATGAAACTCTAAGTGAAAAAACATGGCTTTACATAAGCATGTAGGGAAATTTTTCAAAAAGACCACTGAGTTATCAGAGAGGAAGTTGATGTAGCACAAAATAATAAAGACAAGACAAATTTGGGTAATGTTTAAATTTCTTTTGAAGAGAAAATAAGATCTCAGCCTCTGATGTTGACTTTAATGACTTTCAAGTTCTTAGGATAAGAACTGGACTGTTTACCACAAGGTTGGCAGTTCAAATCCACCTCCTTGGAAACCCTATACAAGATCACTATGAGTTAGAACTGACTCAACGACACGAGAAACAGCAACAACAAATGTTCCTGAAGCATGTGTATATAAGCAAAGACCGGTAGACGCCCCTTGTGCTTATAGCTCTTACATGTTGTTGTTAAGTAAGTGCTTTGAGTGGATTCTGACTCATAGCAACCCTGTACAGGGTTTCCGAAACTGTAAATCTTTGCCAGAACAGAAAGCCTCATCTATCTCCTGTGGAGCTGCTATTGGTTTATTGTTGTAAGTAGTTTATAGTCTTGTGCTTGTTCTATAGTGCCACCTCACTCTCTACCTCTTACTTTGTTGTTATTAAGTGCCCTTGAGTTGGTTTGACTCACAGCAACCCTGTATAGGGTTTCCCAGGAGCAGCTGCAGACTTATAGGTCACAGTAGTACTGCTATGTAGCGTTTCCAAAGCTGAACTTTGTATGGAAGCATCGTTCTTTCTCAGATCCTAGCATTCTTTTGTGTTTAAAATATGGTTAACAAAAATGAGTGATACAGTATACTGTAAAGTCATTTGACTTCATTTTAACAGTGTATATATTAGATCTGTCTCAGTTTGGTATCATTTATCTATTAAGTCTGTCACTCTTTTTTTTTTTTTTTTATTACCTGCTGAAATTGAGCGACAATAGTCATTAATGTTTCAGTATGTGTATATATATAGTGATTTTATAAAATTACATAAAAATGTGAACAAAAATGTGAAAATGATCATGGATGATTTGTAGACCTCTGAAAATTTATGCATGGATCTCAATTTGGGAAACACTGATTTAGACTAATCTCATTTATACATTTGACTGCATGTTTGATCAACTGAAGACTGGAGAATTTGGTAAAAATATTCAGTTTCTTCATCTGAATAATAGTCATATTTGCTGTTGTTCCTAGTATGAGTCTGGACATTATCACTGACAGTATTGTACCGCAGGACCAAAGTTTTCTTTTTAACAATGAATGCAATACCATTCCTCTTCAATTTGTCATGTCTGATGTAGTAGATCGTATGATTGTCTGATTCAAAATGGCCATTAACAAACAGTCCCTTTCAACTCACTATTGCCTAGGTTATCAATCTTTGTATGTAAGATTTTGCACCTTTCAATATTTCTACATTCATGTTTCAGGCATTATACATTCTTACTGTTAATGTCCTCATTTTGAGTTGTGTCACATCAGCACATGAAGGCAACAAAAGTTTCGGTGCTCTGGAATTCCAGTAACTCCTATCTTTAAGCTTCCTTGTTGAGTCTCACATTTCCACTGGGCTCTGTTCTCTTTTTTTCTTTTCTCTTGTTTCTCTTGAGGCTTGATAAGTTCAGTTACTTTGTCTTCTAGTTCACGTATCCTGTCTTCTTTCTATTCATGACTATTGTTGGGCGTTTCTCTTGCATTTTCTAATTAAAATGCTTTGTTCTTCAGCGTCATTAATTTTGTTTTTAAAAAGTTTTAAGATATTCATTCCTATTGAGGATATCATTCCATTTCTCAATTTGGTTCTTAATTTCGGTTAGTTAGGTCTTGGTGTGATTTTTGCTTTCTTTAAATAAAATTAGCAACAGTATCTGGAGTTTTTAATTTTTTCCACATTAACCCGATCTCCATAAGAAAAAAAATTCTCTTCATGCTTTCCTTTCAGTTTCTCTTATGGTTTTATGTTTTACTAATTTTTGTTGTTGCTGAACTTGGGGCATTTTTATATCTCTAAAAAATATTATTTAAGTTTTCTGATTTTTACAGGTATTATATTTGTCAGATTGAGCTCTGCTATTTTCTCTGGAGTTCTGGTGTGACACAATAGAATAAGTACTAACCTGCTAATTGCATGGCCAGCGGTTCAAACCACAGCCACTCTCAAAACCCTATATACAGGGGTCACAGGTAGCATAGTGGTTACAAATTGGGCTGTGAACCTCAAGGTCAGCAGGTTGAAACTATCAGCTGTTCCATGGGAGAAAGATGAGGCTTTCTGCTCCCGTGAAGATTTACAGCCTCGGAAATCCTGTACAGGGTCGCTATGAGTCGGAACCGACTCCACAGCACTTAACAACAACAACAACAATCAGTCCTAACCAACGCGAAGGTGCTTAACATTTTCTCTAAAACCACCAGAGGGCATACTTGACCTTGGGATTTCTTTTTCCAGCGCTGAGTTCTGTGTAAGGTTTTATCTGGATGCTTTAAGTGTCTGCGCAGAGTCCTGGTGTGGTGCTGGGGGTTAATGCACTGGACTGCAAAGTTGGTTTGAACCTCAAGGTTGGAGGTTCAAGCTCACCATCCACTCTTTGGAAACCCTATACAGGGTTGCTATGGGTCTGAACCGACTTGACTGCACTTAACAACAACAAATGTCTTCGTGCTTATCTAAAAGATAAGCTGGCTGGGTTTTCTTAAGGTGACTTTGCTGATCTATCAGCTGCCCTGTCATCTGGTTATGATTACTGAGCACCCTTCTGGGATTTTCCTTTACTGTCTCATGTAGAGTTTGGAAAGGCTTAGGCTCTGCATGTATGGGAGTTTGCACTGGCCAAGGACACAGATCTAAGTGATGGAACTCAGCTTTCCTGAAGTGAAGGTAAAGTACTTTATGTCTTTCTCTTACTGGTGTTCCTGCACAGACTCTTCCACAATGTCCCGATGTGAGTAGTGAGTCTGTAACTCCCTTCTGAATTACTAGTCTGAAGTCTTTATGTGTAGGTCCTAGAACTCATCCACTTCAGGTTTTAGGATGATTCAACAGCACTTACTCAAAATGCCTTAGTCTTCCTTGACCCCTCCTCCTAAGTGCATGGCTTGTGAACTCCCACAGCCAGTCTGTGTCACTGTAAATGTTGGGCTATAGCTTCAGTTATGTTCCCCTCCTGTGTTCTTTGTTTGGAGTGTAGCCCATCTCCACCTAAAGATGGGTCCCAGTGAGCCGCATCCCACAGGCGGCAGCAGCTAGGATCTCTACACTGCTGTGCTGTCCCCACTCTTCCATGCCCTTGTTTCTGGACACACACACCCGCCCCCCGCCCCCCGCCCCCTTGGCTCTCCAACACTTTAGCTGCCACCCAGAGTTCTGAACTCTCAGTCTGTGCTAGTTTTTACTCATTGGGAGATAAGTAAGAGCAACTACTTAACACTACAAACTTGTCCCCCTCCCAACATCTGTGTCTGATGAAAAATTCCAGCATGCTAGGAATAGAAAGGAAATCTTTGATTTGAAAAATGTCATCTACAAAAAAATTTGCTTAATGGTGAAGACTGGGTATTTTACCCTAAGAACAAGAACAGGGCAAAGATGTCTACTTTCCCCCATTTCTGTTTAACATTGTACTGGAGGTTTTAGACTATTCAGTTAAGTCAGGAGAAAGTAATGAAAGTGTCCAGATTAGAAATAAAGAAGTGAAAGTGTATTTATTCTCAACTCCATGCCCATCTACATAGCAACTACAATGGGATGTAAAAGAGGAGTGGAAAGTAACTAGTATAACTAATAAGAGATTTAGGATACAGATTTAGGGTCTTTTGAGTTTAGGCCTTGGTACAAAATGCAAGGTTAATATATAGCACTCAATTATATATTCATATACTAGCAACAAACAATTGGAAATAGAAAATTTAAAGATATTACTTAATATAGCATCAAAATATAAAATACATAGAGATAAATCTTTTATCTTATGATAAAATCTTAACAGATTTTAATACCTATACACTGAAGCCTACAAGCTATTTCAGAGAGATACTTAAGAAAACTCAAATAAAAGGAGAGACATACTTGTTGTGATGCAGTGAGTTGCTTTAGTATGGCTAGCCTAGCTATGGTCTTATGTTGTTTGTTGTTGTTAAGTGCCATTGAGTCGAGTCAATTCTGACCCATAGTGACCCTGTAGAGGGTTTCCCAGGAGCAGCTGGTGAGCATGAACTGCCGACCTTGCAGTTCAAATGTTTGACTTTGCAGCAGCGTAGTGGTTACAAATTGGGCTGCTAATCTCACGGTCAGCAGTTCGAAACTACCAGCTGTTCTGCAGGAGAAAGATGAAGTTTTCTGCTCCCTTAAAGAATTACAGCCTCGGAAACCCTGTGCAGGGTCACTATGAGTCGGAACCGACTCCACAGCACGTAAAACAACAACAACAATAATATGCATGGGACCCTTGATTGGCATTGCTAGATTGAACATCCTGCTACTCTTAAAAGGAGCCAATTTCAGAGGCTGGGAGACCTCACTGTCATCACAAAAAAGAGCTGGGAGTGGACTGCCTCTTTTGGATCTACGGTCTCTGCATTGAGAACCTCCTAGACCCAGAATCAAAGAGGGCTGTGCCACCGAAGATGACATGAGATGACAACAGCACAGAACCAGTAAACTAGGGTCACTGACCCACAAAGTCGGTGAGATTTGTATTTTTGGATAGGAGAGTTCCTGGCACAGTAGGGTGCTTCTACACTCTTACTGACAGAGTTAAAGAGCTTGGACTCCAGCTAGCTATTCTTATTACTGTTGTTAAGTACCATCGAGTCATACTGCCTCTGTATAGGGTCTCCAAGGAGTGGCTGTTGTGGTTCAAACCAACCTTGCAATTCAGTGCTTATCCTCCAGTGCCATACAGAACTCCTAGCTATACTTAGCTGTTGAAATGTATTTCGTTTAAAGTTGAATTTATGCAAATCAATATATATTATGTAAGTTAATATTTTGCACACTAAAATTGATTGCCCTGTTGCACTCTTTAGATAAATCTTTTGGCACTTTCTGCATCTCCTAACAAATAATCATGCAATGGGGAAGGAAATAAAGGGAATTACACTATTTTAGAAGATGAGATTGTGAGGGAAGAAATGGTGACTTGAAAAGGTATAACTTAATAGGTATTTAAAAGTACTGACCTTCCTTTGTTAGATATTGAGAAAAGAATCCTCTAACTGGTTTGTATGCATTATTTTTCTTTTAATGTGACCTAGATAGCTTATAAGAAAGCATTAAGATAAGTGATATTTAATGCTCTAGGAATTTTATTGATTTGAAGGTTTGTGTTACATTCTGCCAAGTTACCATGGGCCTGCTTTCTTCTGTTTCCTCATACCAGGCCTTTGTCTCTGTATTACTAGCAGCTACCTATTTTCTGAACTTAAAGACTTCTTCCATAAAAAAATTATAGCCTCGAAAACCTTATACAGGGTCACTATGAGTCGGAACTGACTCTACAGAAATTAACAATAATAATAAGGATCCTCTTTGTTGGCTGGAGATCATCAGAAGCTATTAAAAAGACATTAACACAAACAATTGAAGGGATAATCAAAGGCAGACTTTGAATTAAAAAGAGGTGGGTGTCTGAAGTCTTCTTGGTGTGCTATACTTATTAGCTATTTAATAAAAAAGATATGGTAGGTGACTCATTTCTGTATGCCAAGGAGGAAGATACTCTCTACACTGTAAGTTCTAGAATCTTGAACTAACTAGATTCTTAAGATCATCTGATTTCAAATCCTAAAAGCAGGAATCTCTAATATGAGATTTCTAATGTGCTAAAATTAAAATCTAGCTTGTAACTGTTTATTTACAAAATTAGTTGGAGGGACGTACATTGCATTCCTGGAATCTGGCACATCTCTTTCTTTGCCCAGGCTTCTACTGACAATAATATTGAATCCATATTTGAAAAGTCCATGGATAAGTTCTGGTTTCGAAGAGTTAAAACCCTTGTCTGTAAGGAAAGTTAATAGGAGTCAGATCTGGAAAGGTTTACCACCATCACATTAATGCAAGACAATAAGAACAATTACTTGCTGAATTCACTCCTACTGTAATAAAGCTGAGTCGTTTTCTTTAAACTTAAACAATTACTCAGACGTTAAAGCTCAAGGTAAGAGCCCAAATATTTACCCAAATTAAAGCAGATTCCTTAGCAAAGTCTGAACAACTAGTTTCTTTCTGAACAACTAGTTTCTTTCCAGTCACTCACTTTCTCTAACAAAGGGAGGTGAGAGAATGAGAGCTGAAACCTTTCCCCCAAAATTTCATTGTTGTTGTTGTTAAGTGCCATTGAGTTGGTTCCGACCCATAGCAACACTGTATAGGGTTTCCACGGAGCAGCTGGTGAGCTTGAACCACCGACCTTATAGTTCAAGTGACTTTGCAGTCTGTGGCATTAGCTCACAATGCCACACCAGGACTCCTAAAATTCCATTGTTGCCGTTGAGTCGATTCTGACCCATAGTGACCCTGTAAAGGGTTTCCAAGGAGCAGCTGGTGAGCTTGAACCACCAACCTTGCAGTTCAAACAGCTTTGCAGTCTGGCGAATTAACCCACAGTACCACACCAGGACACCTAAAATTCCATTGTTGTTGTTGTTAAGTGCCATTGAGTTGATTCTGACCCATAGCAGCTTTGTTGTTGTTATTATGTGCCACGGAGTCGGTTCCGACTCATAGCGACCCTGTACAGGGTTTCCGAGGCTGTAAATCTTTACGGGAGCAGAATGCTCCATCTTTCTCCCACGGAACAGCTGGTAGTTTCGAACTTCTGACCTTACGGCTCGCAGCCCGATTCGTAACCACTATGCTACCAGAGCTTTAGAGAGCATAAAATATAGGAAAATCCAATGCATCAGTCACAACAATAAATGAAATCAAGGGAATTTCACTGTTAAAAGATAAAAAAACTCTTGAGTAGAAACAACAATCAAACTGCAATCATAAAAGATAAACTGAACTCACAGTGGTTAAAAGTGAAAGAAAGAATGGTCAAAGAATACAGGAGTCAAAATATGACTTCTTGTTAAATGCCGTTGAGTCAGTGCTGACCCATACCGACCCTGTATAGGGTTTCCAAGGAGGAGCTGGTGAGCTTGAGCTGCTGACTTTGCAGTTCAAACAGTTTTGCCGTCTGGTGCACTAACCCACAGTACCACACCAGGACTCTAAAATATGCCTTAGAATTGTAAAATTCACTGGGAGGAGCATTACAGGAAGTAATTTTATACTGAGATGCAAGTTCACAGTAAAGACACCACAGCAATAGCTTGTATACATTAAATAATAGTGCAACAAAATAAAGAAACAGGTAGGCCTATCAATATATACTGTTACAAGTAAACGATGGAAGACTTAAAGAACAACTTCCAAAAAGTTTTAAGAAATTTGAATCGTGTAATAAGGTTTTCTTAGTGGCTATGTACTGTAAAGGAGCTCTGGTAGCGTAGTGGTTACGAATCGGGCTGCGAACCTTAAGGTCAGCAGTTCGAAACTACCAGCCGCTCGGCGGGAGAAAGATAAGGCTTTCTACTCCCGTAAAGATTTACACCCTTGGAAACCCTGTACAGGGTCGCTATGGGTTGGAACCG